TCAGTCTTTCCGCTAGAGACCTCCAAGTACTAAGCACGAAGCACAGTTGTTGTTGTTCATGCAGACACAGATGTAAGGAGACAGAGGGCTTAGGCAGACCACTCAAGGAAAACAGGAAAAATATACACCATTTAGATTAGAAGATGGGTAATTAAGAAAATCAGAAAATTAAAGGTTCTTAAAAATACTGTAACCAAAGACTAAAGCAAACTAACTCTACAACAGTAATACACTAGAACACTTTTTGGTTTCCATCCTCACACAGCGTTAGAGCTTCTGGCAAAAATCACCCTGTTTGACTGCCTTGAGGGAGAGGTCAGATACCATGAACCACAAAAAAATGGGTCAGAATCATGAATTCTGACTTCTCAGAAATTCTATTTAAGCTACTGTGCCAGTCAGGGGATATGTGGCTGTTTCCACGCCCCTCTCATTTCTTTCATAAAAGCAGATTAATCTCCCAAATTTGCCTTCCTATGATGAGAACTAAGCAGCTGACAAGCACCATGACACAGAAGAGGAACTATAAATGTACTGAGATTCAACACAAGCAGCAAATCCTGAAAGAACTGAAACAGTAAACAAAGTAGAACTTAATTTTCAATTCACTATTTTATTACACTGGGAGAAGTCAGAGAACACATGAAGTTGCTTAACCTGCACCCAGATGAAAGCATCACAAAAACATTCACTCACCGAGCTCCTATCATTTAACAATACCAAATGCCTTAGCATTAATTCTACACTTGCAAAAAGGAGGAGAAAATATATCCTGGACACGAGGATACATGTTCAAGCAGAGGGTGAATATGCCCTGAAAACCTAGGCACAGCGGAGCAAAAGCAAGGAAGCAAAAAGACTATAAAAAAAGCTGATGAAGCAAAGCAAAAAATCCAGTGACCCTGCAAGCCTGTGAAGCTTCTGAAACATCAGGCTCTTTGCTTTGATCCCATCTTCTGCCAATAAATCTAAAAAGCCCATGAACCCATTTGCAGATTTAGTGAGTCTTTCAGGGCTTATGGAAAAGTCAAATCAACTTGTGGTGTTCTGCCTTCTAATATAATGATAAGAGCACATCTACCCTACATGGCTCCAAGCACAGCACAAAATGGCAGTGCCTGCAGTCTCCAAGCAGCTCCTTAGCCAGACAACATGAAAGCTGGAAGAACATTCGCGACAAAGATAGTTAATATGATCATATTGCATTACAGTCACTGTAGCGATATTGGGCAAATGTTATGTTGCATGAGGCTATACAATAATTGGGCAGTAATAAGTAAAAACATTAAGTCCCTGTTTTACTACTGCTTCATCACTAGCTATAAAACAACATCCTAATAAAGAGCATAAAACTAAAAAGAACTGAGATTAACAAGGCATGTTATGGCAGTTTAGAAGTAAAAGTCACTTTAGCAATATAAAACTGAACAATGCTATTTAAAAGAATGAGAAGAGAAGATTTACTATTCCTTATTTAAAAAAAGCAGCTATTCCGAGAGCCTGGCCTAGTTACCATAGTGCATACGTCAAACTGGTAAGCAAAGTACGTCGCATCAATGCTCACCAGAAAAGCACTATATATTAGATAGCTGACTATAGCACTGTCAGTCCCTAACTAGGTAATGTTGCATGGACAATGCTAACCACCGAGAGGAAGAAAGAGAGAGAAAAACATTGGGAAAAGCTTTGGCCAATATTCAGACATGAATTTTGACTGTACAAGTAGGTATATTTATGGCAGAGTCCAAGAATGATCAGACAAATCATTAGAGAGCGAAAGCGGCTCCCTCCAAGTTGTTTTTATCAGGCTCTGAATACATCACCTCATTTTTAGCAGGGTTCTGGTATCATGTGCAGTTAACGTATAATTATTACAGAACTGACTGCATCGTTAGCAGAAGTTTAATTATATCATTGACATTAGTGATGCCATAACATCAAGCTCAATAATAGTTCATAACAAAACCTACAATTAGCACAATTTTTCCTCCCTTTTACACCAACCAAAAGCGTTCAGCTTGGAGAAGCCTAATAGTCCATACAGAAGCGAGCTGGGGCTGAACCTGAAAGGATTGCTGGCTGGTAATTTAGTAATATGGTAATTAAAGTCTTTTCATTATGTAATTACACATCAACTACAAAAGGACAGCTGCTATACAACACTGCCAGGGTACGTGGCATGAAATGATTAGATTTGAGAAGCTTTGGTGGTTAAACTGAATACCACAGACATAAGTCTGAGGTATAGCTGGCACCGCATAGCACATTATTATTCAAGTCTCACACTTCGCGTTTCCTTAGTCTCATTGTGATAGTAACAGTTTGTTGCACGTACCTTGGTCCTGTGACAGCAGAAGCTGTTCGAAACCCACCTTTAAAAGCTTCTGTTGTTTTGAAGTTGCCTGGAATTAAGACATAACCTTCTTCCGGGGCAGAGGCAGAACAAACGAGGTTTGAGTGAACTCAAAAATGTTTACTTCCCACCCCTGCAGCATGAAACCTCCGCTCACAGGCTCTAGTCTGTGGGAAATGTTGCTTGATTTATTTGTAGGCTTTTTCCAGTGGGGGAGTGGAGAGGGGAGAATGCAGACAGAGTAGAGGCACAAATGAAGAGGTGAACTCAAAGAAACTAAAGCTCAGCTGAAGAACTGAGGGTTTCGGCATCTAGTTCCAACAGCAACAAGCACAAGTCCTCTGTGCTTGTTCTTAAGAGCAGACAAACTTTTTTTTTTCTTAAGTAGTTTCCTTATTGTATTTCTTGACACCCTCATTTGTATCTGTACAAACCTTGAAGCTGACCACATAAGGCATGAGACAGCAAAAAGAAACAGATTTTTCCAACTAACACGAGTAAAACTTCTTGGCTACATGACTGGGCTCTTAAAAATACAGGAATGCACTGTACATCCTGGCAGTAGGCAATTTTCTAGTCCTAAAATGTCCTTTTAGTGATGAGGAGCAACTTAGATGTTTTGTAATGGCTATTTTTCTCCCTTTCGGAAACACAGGAAGTGAGGATTTGGAGGGAGAGACACCCAGATCAACTCATCTTCTACACTTTAAAGCATTTATTTTCTTGAGCTACGAAAATCTAGAAGTGGGCTTATCTGAAAGTGGAAGATTTTGGGAATTCAGAGAATTCTCCTCAGCATGAGGAAGGTTTCCGTGAGGTCCATTTGGAAAGTGTAAAACCAAACTATTTTGGATTTGGAAGGATCCTGTTACCTACAAGGTCCGAGGAACAAGTAGAAAAATGAGTCCTGGTTCAAAAGAGACCCACCCTTGCTGATGGCTCCCCTTCTAATTCCTGCTCTTCTGAAGATATGTGCTTGATGAACGTTCAAAGCCTATTGAAAACTTAATGGATTCAACTACAGTGGACGCTTAGGCTAATTCAAGATCAGCGTCAACGAGTTTCTGCCCATTGGGCATCAGAGGCCGCAGTGGAGCTGAGGCTGCTCTCACAAAGCAGAGGAGGGATCCTGGGGGAACTGGAAACAACTAATCATTTAAGAACAAATATCTCAACTACTCAGAAGTAGGTCCTGCATGGCCAATTTTACAGAGCACCCTTAAGAGACAATAAAGCAATTTAGCCAACCCAAAGGAAGAGACTCAACTGTATTTCAAGTACAACAGCACAGGTAAACATGATTATTTTTAATTTAATGGCAAAAGAGCTAGAATTTAGTGCAGCTAGTGGTTCTGATGACTAGATAGGTAGTCTACTCAAACATATTTGCTGCTACCCTCTGTGAGGACTTCTTTGGCATTCGATGCGAAAAAGATTCAAATATGTCATTTGTCAAGAGGAAATGGGTGAGCAATTTGCAATATAAACAGCAAATTTAGCATATTAAGACCATCACCAACAGGAAAAGAATAAGAACTTCATGCACAAAGGATTTATCTGACTTGCTACACATTTTAAAGCAACAAGAGGCAATAAAAATGTTAGCTTTAAACTACAAAACATTTTGCAATTGACTTCTCTCTGTACATACACTGTGCACATACAGTACAAACATGAACGGTATGCGCACAGGCCTCAAACACAAATGCATAACTGCAGCTGTCTTCACCTAAAGACAACACTGTTCAGTACCTTTGCAGACTTCAATTTCTCAGGTGCCAACTAAAAGAACACAACAGCAGTATGTATCATGCGGGTAACTATTCTCCCTGGCCTGTTCATGCATAGCGTTGCCAAAAGAAACAAGCAAGTCTGAACTCTTGCAAGAACAGCCTCGTTATCTCTCTCTGATGGTGGTATGGGCAGAGGTCGAGGGAGAAGAATGCAAGTGAGAGATATCCAGTATCATCCTAGCTTTAGCTAAATCAGAACACAAAGAAAAAGCTTCTCGTCAGCAGTCTTTAAGCATCCAACTTCTAAATATAACAAAGCAAGAACTCCTGAATGACAACATTCAGTTCTGAGAAACAGACAAGTACATGAGCTACAACAGGACACAGTCAAAATCCTATGATAGGCCCTCTCCCTTCCCGCTTCCCTGTTGCAGGAGTAGCAGTTATTTCCTTACAGTCTACTACCTTCAATTACATAAAAATCTGAGAGCCAGTTGGCTTTCCAAGACTAAGGTTGAGGACAGGAGCCATAGGACGTCCTACTGAACCAGTCCAGCCCTGTCAGCTGTTCCAGATGCAGTCACTTTGTCAGTGTTCAACACACAGTTCTACTACACACCCAACATCTCTTCTGTTTCAACGGCTCTTTAGCATCTTGTCACTTCAACCTTCAAGTCATTCAGAAACTGCTACAGGGCCAACAGTGTCGCCAACCTCCCTGACTGCGACCACCGCTCGACAAGATACTGGAAGCCTATCGTTGTCATTTGCACTGATTTCTGTGAGAACCATTAAGTGTCCGGCCAAGAAACAGAATCCTCTTGTGATACTGTTTGCAGCTGAGGAACTTGATAACACCAGGTCTGGGGAGTTTGGAGTGAAGGAATAGCTGGGGAGACACCACACTTACTCACCTGCTATCACCAGCGTTTGCCACGTAAAGCTTCCCCAATAAACACACCACCACAAGCGCTGTGCAGCCACCAGAAATATTATATACAGTCCTCTCTCTTTCTATTTGCAAATCCTATGGGAAAAGAAAACAAGATTTATAAAGACAGCATTGCAATTAATATTTTAGAAAATGAAGATCCCCCTATAAAAAAAGAACAAAAAAAGAGTATTTCTTAAACTTCGTGTCCCACTGGTGTTCTTAACTGTTGCAGCTAAGGCCACACGGTCAGGGAGGGGAACGGAAAGTCAAGGAGTACCTATTAGCTATGCTACAAAGACGTTCAGGAAAAATCAGGACAGGAGATTGTAAAACATCAGGCACCAAGGAATAAATGGCAGTTCTGAGGTATGCAAAGGAATTTGCTACGGAAAAAGCACAGCAAAGGCAAAGATAAATGTAGCTTAACAACAGGTATCTGGTGGTATAATTGGAGAGTGCTTTACATAGACAGCAAATAATTAATGAGACCTAGCTACGACATGAATAACTACCCGCTCTCCAAAAGGTACGCTAGGATTGAGGAGTGTGTTTCTTTACGAACAGCAGCAAGACACACTCATGCCACAAGGCTACCCTTCAGAAACATGGGGAACAGGTGGATGCTAAACTTGTTAAGGGTGGGGGGAAAGGTCAGTAGAACAGTATTTACTGAAAAGTACAAGGCATTCAGACTTTCCAGGATGAACCTCAGTATGTAACCCTGTGTCTCATCTCACTGCTTTTATGAGGTCCTGAAAAGATCCCCAAATTTAAGGAGGTATGTACCTACTCTTCCTGTGTTTAGCTTCTAACTGATTCTGAGAGTAAGAAATACTATATATAAAAAAAGTCCTCCTGCTTAACAGAAGTGGAGAACACAAGTCACATCTGTCATCCACAATCAATCAAGCCCAGGAATGAAAAAATGCATAAATATATACATATATCTATATAGATAGATCGTCAGTCCCAGGAAAGTTTGGAGAACACGAAGGGCACAAGTAAATCAGCCACTTTCCAGTACTCCATACATTTTAAACAAAAATTGAAGTACATGCGAATGAATTAATTCTGCTGCATCTTAAGTTTAGTTTGGGGCAATAACACAACATGTTACAAATCACTCGCCTCTCCCATGTCCAGAGTCAAATTCAGTTTCAAACTGGCCTTTCCTTGTAATACTGGACTCATACAGGGAGCACCATTTAACACTGCTACTGCAAGCACTGGCAAACCTTTTTCAGCTAAACCCTGTCTACTTCTACGTGCTTTTGATTATGAATATTTTTGTTTGCCTGTGTGTGTGTGCATACACACACAGAGCTACACTGCAGTCATTTTCATATTTGCACTGAGCAACAAACAGCTCAAATTGTCCACACCTTGGGGTATGGGATTTAGAGCTTTATTTCAGAGTTAAATTTATCTGAGGAAAAGCACCACAACAAATGCAAACCATGACAGCTACAATTTGATTGAAAATCTACAGAGTTGGAGGAAGCCAGAGACCATACTTTGTTTCCTACAAATTTCAGGGGAGGGAGGCGACCTGGGGCAGCAGCGGGGATGCTCAGCAGTGCTCAGCCGCTGTCTGGAGCAGGCTGGGCAGGCAGAGGTGCCTGTCACAAATAATGTGACTCCTTGCAGGCCGGTGTACACAGGGACCGATCCCATATGTGCCATGAATCCAGTACTGAGACGGGCGGAGTGGTGGGGACAGCAAGAAACGCGCAGCGCTGCCCGACGAGGCCATCCTCTGCTGCACACGGGAACTGCACCTTGGGGTTTTACTCCTGACTCTTCACTCACGCTCTCATGGACATGTGGTTTTCCTATTTCTTTTTTTTTTTTTTTTTTTTTTTTTGCGGGGGGGGGGAGAAAGGGGGGGAAGGGGCAACAACCAGGAGGAAAACACCCCGAAGCTAAAAATCAAATCTTGCAGAACCTTTGGTCACAGACATTGAGCTGCTACAAATGCCTCTTTATTTAATCTTGCAACAGAAAAGCTGATTTTCCTCCCCGTGGTTTCTATATATTTTTAAATTAAGCTGAAAAGAACAGTTCAAAGGAACCAAACGTTTCTAACCATAAAAACAATTTCAACTTACAAATACTACAGCGGATTTTCCAGGCACTGCCAGGAATTTTGAAAAACCTTCATCTCCACAGCTCAGAATATCCTCTGAGACCTTCAAACAATATGTAATTCCTCACCTGGATTCAGCTCTGTCATATGTACATTTTGCAAGTGCTGGAATGCCTAAATTGAAATTTATTCCTTTCAATAAGCAGAATTCAGAGCATTTATTATCGGAGAGAAGACTGATAATCCTTAGGGCCTCATTTACAGAGTTTCCTGGACTTAAACTAGATCCGTGTACCGGACTTTTCTGAATCATTGTCATTCATGGGCTCTTCCATCCAGTTGTTCAGAACTTACTACCATGACTGGCCAGAGTACATGCGGTACCATGTTTGATTTGATATTACATACTTTGTTTGACATTTCCTTTTTTGTGGGGAGGGAAGGAGGGGAAGGCTTTCCTACAGCTCAACAAGATTTGAGGGGAAAAAATAACCCAAAGTAAATTAAAGACCACCAATGCCACTAACTCATCCTGACGCAGAGAGACTGGCTTTTAATGAAATACATGACAACAGCACTGCTGGAAAAGTACTGCAGCACAAACCAGGGCAGAAACCTCAAAATGCCTCTGAAGTCTTTACGAGAGTAAAGGGGCTTGTTCTTGACAAAGTCGGACTGTATGCAAAGCTTTCCTCTTGTTCTACCTCGGAAAAGATTTCAGAGTAAGCTTTTTGGTTCCCCCCCCTTTCCTTTTTTCCTCTTCTCCGCAGCACGCAGCTCACCCCCACACAGCCATCTGCCTGCAGGGGAAGAGCTGAGGAACGCTGGGCAGAACCAAACAACGCGCCTCACTCAGACCCTGGCAGAAGAGGAAAAAAGGGATTTCTCCACCCTCTGTTCCAAAGGTTACCATTCCGTGCCAAGCAAGCACCTCCTTCAGCCTGTGCTCTGCCGCCCTTTCCAGGCCGGCAGCTGGGAGCCCTGAAAGGCAGCCTCACGCCTGGCCCCCCGGTCCCCCCTCCCCGGGTGAGGGGACACAGGGAGGTCGGGGCAAAGCCTGCAGAGAACCACGGGGTTCGCTTCCAGCGCGAGCGGCAGCGAGCAGGGGTCGTTTTCCCCGCCCGTGACAGAAGCGGCCCCAGGACGCGGCGTCAGCGCCGGGCCAGCCCAGCCCCGAC